GTATTATCGTTTATAAAACCTTTCTTCCCTATCTGGAAATGGAATGTCAGTGTCTGGCCCACACAGTGCCAAGGTTATAATGTAGTAAAATAAAAACCTGTGGCTCTGTGTAGCAAAAAGGCAGGCTTGATGCACTCACTGACTAGTTGACAAATTTTGGGCAATTTGTGGCAATTTTTAGGCATTTTGCAAGATACCCTAAGCTGCTCTAAGAGAAGTTAGAACCCAGCATGTGACTCCAAGGTCCACCTATACCACAAATATTTGTTTTGGGCATATTGGCCTTATAAGCATGTAACCCTTACAGGTCCCATCCTCTAAAGTGAGTGTTTAGGAAGGACTTTTTTAATTAAATTGGCTGGCTTGTTATCATGTAGGCTGTATGTTTTGGCCTAGTGCTCAGTGTAATTTAATGAATGACACCCTATGATGTTATTAAGAAGTATACATTTCCACAGTTCACCAGCTGTGAAAGAACGCAATGACCATGAGAGCAATAATGGTAAACCAACAAGACTGTACTTTTAATAAGTAAAATGTTATGATACTACGCATATGGTTCACATTAGAGTTATAAACCTGGACACCAATCTCCAATTGGAAAGCTGACTTATGCAATCATTTGTATTAAAATAACATTAGAACTGCCTAAAGTGGACCTATATTCAACAAGTGAAGGTTTGCTATCATATAGTAAATATATAGCACGCCTAAGCAATACAAAAAAAAAAAAATCAACATTTTGTCCTAAATGACTTCTCAAATATGTAACTATTCCTAGGAACTCCTAGTCTGTAGCCTTCTAGCTGTATATCTGTATTGTGAGATAATCTAAGGTATTGTTGACTTTGACTGATAGCACCATATTTGCTAATTTTTGTTCTCCTTGCAGGAACATTAGCTGTACCTGAGGATCTACAATGCAAACATCTCCCTACTTTACTCATTCTGTCAATCTGTGCTTTCTCCAACTCCCCTGTTGCTTCTTGATCATTACCTCTCAATTAATCATTCATCTCTACCAAGATGGTCACCTCCTTACACAGAGACTGTGTTGAAAAAAAGACATGGAAAATAGCTGCAGGGATCGTATATTCAATACTGGTGACCTAAATGAGTCATTAGCTCCCCACCATTTTTGCCCACAGATTCCACAGTTCAGGTTCTCTTTAACTAGTTGCAGACTTTGAGCCAAAAAAAGTCATGATTGTACATAGGGTGTGTGTCTAGAATGTTCAGTCTCTCAGAAGGTCAGAGGTTTCACATCCTCTTAGAGCAGAAAGAAAACTCCTCCTACAAGCTTTAACCAGTGCTCTGCTGAAGTCACAAAACTGCCCTAACTGCCGATAAGAAAAATGTATTTAGCAGTTTGTATTTACTAAAATAAAATAATTGCATTTCCATGTAGTGTGTACTGTGGGAGAGCAGATATAGTGAATGTAGGCTCCTGGGCTTAGTAACACTTGAAGAGTAAACCTGACAACTAAAAAAAATTGTTTTTAAATGAAATGTTCCTCTGTTTAAACCCCTTATTAACCCTTAGTTTATGCTAATCTGCCTTACTGACCTCTTTAGTCTCCTCTCTTCAACTATTACTTTCCTTTGTTTTTTTTTTTTCGTGTTTGTTTCTATTTTATGAATTATTAAAATTTAACAGCTTGACCTCCAAAAGGGTTTACCTCCTTCATGACCTGGGCATTTTTTTTTCTCTTCAGCACTGTGTTACTTTAAGGGCAATTGCTCAGTCAAGCAAAACTGCACCTAAATGAAATTTATATCCTTTTTTTTTACACAAATAGAGCTTCATTTTGGTGATATTTGATCACCACTATTTTTTTATTTTTTATTAGGTAAACAAGAAAAGGCCAAAAATGTATAAAAAAAAAAAAAACCCAAAACAATATTTTCTACTTTTTGTTATAAAACATATCCAATAAAATCAAACGTCTTCATAAATTTAGACCAAAATGTATTCTGCTACATGTCTTCAGTAAAAAATCCCAATAAGTGCATATTATTTTGTTTATGTGAAAGTTATAGCGTCTACAAACTATGGTATATACAGGTGCATCTCAATAAATTAGAATATCATCAAAACGTTAATTTATTTCAGTAATTCAATTTAAAAATTGAAACTCATATGTTCTATAGATTCATTACACACAGAGTGATGTATTTCAAGCATTTCTTTCTTTTTATTTTGATGATTATGGCTTACAGCTCGTGATAACCCAAAATTCAGTATCTCAGAAAATTAGAATATTACATAAGACCAATAAAGAAAAGGATTTTTAATACAGAAATGTTGGCTTACTGAAAAGTATGTCCATATATAGTATGCACTCAATACTTGGTCAATACTCCTTAGGGGCTCATTTTGCAAGAATTACCTCTTCAATGAGGCATGACTTGGAGGCAATCAGCCTTTGCCACTGCTGAGGTGTTATCGGAGCCCAGGTTGCTTTGACAGCTGCCTTAAGCTTGTCTGCATTGTTGGGTGTGGTGTCTCTCATCTTCCTCTTGATAATACCCCACAGATTCTCTATAGTGTTTAGGTCAGGTGAGTATGCTAATCAAGCACCATGTGATACCATAATTATTAAACCAGGTATTAGTACTTTTTGCAGTGTGGGCAGGTGCCAAGTCCTGCTGGAAAATTAAATCAGCATTTACATAAAGCTGGTTAGTAGAGGGAAGCATGAAGTGCTCTAGAATTTCCTGGTGGAGGGCTGCGCTGACTTTGGACTTGATAAAACACAGTGGCCCTGGATCCCCAAATCATCACTGACTGTAGAAACCTCACATTGGACCTCATGCAACTTTGATTCTGTGGCTCACCACCCTTCCTCCAGACTTTGGGAACTTTATTTCCAAATGAAATGCAAAATTTATGTTCATTCGAAAAGAGGACTTTGGACCACTGAGCAACAGTCCAGTCCTTTTTTTCCTTAGTCCAGGTAAGACGCTTCTGATGTTGTCTCTGGTTCAGGAGTGGCTTGACACAAGGAATGCGACAGTTGTCGCCCATGTCCTGGATATGTCTGTGTATGGTGGCTCTTGAAGCACTGATACGAGCCGTAGTCCACTCCTTCTGAATCTCCCCCAAAATCTTGAATGGCTGTGATTATAGCTTTTACTTGCGCATCTTTGTCTACCACACTTTTTTCCTCCCACTCAATGTGCCATTAATATGCTAATGGTATTAATGACCTTTTGCAACTTACCCTTGTGGAAGGTGTCAGTGACAGTCTTCTGGACAACTGTCAAGTCAGCAGTCTTCCCCGTGATTGTGTAACCTACTGAACCAGACTGAGAAACCATTTAAAGGCTCAGGAAACCTTTACATGTTTTTTGAGTTAATTAGCTGATTAGAGTTGGACACCATAGTGTGACTGTGATACTACAGCTAGTTAGTGTTCCTCCCAGCCAGGGACTGCCAGATTGCCCATCTGGCAGTCCCTGGCTGGGAGGAACACTAACTAACTGACACTGATGTTGCTAGTGACACTAATATAGTGATCAGTGATAACACTGTACACTGTACTAATGACACTGGATGGGAAGGGGTTAACATGCAAGGGCAGTCAAAGGTTTAACTATGTGCCTGACAAGTATAATGTGTGTAATGTGTGCTGCTGCACAACAATGAAAAAATAAACTCTTTATTTTGTTTGAAAATAACTTTGCAATGCGTTGTACCAGAATCATAATTTTAGTGGAAATGTACACAGGGACAAATTACCAAATAAAATCTGCACATTTTATGTGCAGTAACAATATTTGCTTTTAAACTAACCCTGCTCTAAAAAAAAAAGAGAAGTGCATTTGTTTAGTTATGTTGCATTTTAATGTCTAAGGAATGAGAAACAAAATCATCATTGCAATAGAATATTATGAAAAGAAAGCCTTGCTTGTCCTTAAAAAAACAATATATGTATTATATGAATTACCTTTTTATCTTAAAACGGAGTTCCACCCAAAAGGGGAAGTTCCGCTTTAAAGATTGGTCCCCCGCTCCCCATTAAGGATTGGCACCTTTGGGGAGCTGGGGGGGAACGGGTACCCAAATTTGACAGGTACCCACTCCCACTTCCGCTGCGATCGCCTAGGCGATTGGAAACAGAAGTTGTCCTCCTACCCTCCCTCCCTGAAGACTTGTGGGACACGTGACAGATCCCAGAAGATGGCGGGGCCATTCAGGAAGTGCAGTGCTACTCGCGCATGTGCAGTGGGTACCTGGCTGTGAAGCCGCAAGCTGTCACAGCCAGGTGCCCACACTGAAGATGCCGTCCTCCTGGAATACAGGACGGCCGGTGAAACGGGCTGCGGCGGGGGCAACGCGGGATCGTGTGATAGGTAATTGGCTGTTTCATAAAAGTCAGCAGCTACAGTTTTTGTAGCTGCTGACTTTTATTTTTTTACAGAGTGAGTGGAACTCTGCTTTAAGTAATGGCAAGGTCATTGCCCAATAAACAGGTCCAAAGCAGAAATGTCACAACTGCTCTGGTCCATAGGGGGTGATCAGTTGTGAGGTGAAGTGGTTAAATAAGACAGCCAACCAAGACATATAATTTCATTTTGTGATTGGGGAAAGTGATTGGGGAAACTCACATGCACAGTCATACACACATCTGAAAGAACATGTGATTAGCTTTGCCCACTGACCTTCCTTTTAGTTGCCAATCCCATGACATGCTATAAAAACAACTGTATAAAGCTTAAATTTGTTTTCTTATGCTCACTTACAACACTATACCAGTGTTGTCAACCATCTGTGTTTTTACGGACAGCCAGTAAAAACCGGGAACTTTTTTCCTGCACTTAAATGCCTGTGACGTGAAAAGCATGCCAGTTAAAAATATGCAGTTGGCATGGAACTGCACTCAGCATGGAACTGCACATGTGCAGTTCCAGAGCTGGCTGAGATTGTTTGAGTGCAGTGCAGGGGCGTACTGACAATTTGAGAACTCGGGCACTGCCCGAGGGCCTGGGGTCAGTAGGGGGCCCCATGAGATGCCCCTGGTACCTTTTCATAGGCTTTTTTGGATGTGGTTTGAGGGTGGGCGAGGACACAGGGGCCCCATGATCCCCTGTTGCCCGGGGGCCCCATGAGTTGTCAGTCCACAGTGCAGTGGTGCAGTGCTACTGTGTGTTTGGGTGGCACTGGTGGGGGATGGGTCTGGTGGAGGGAGTCGGTGCCTGAGTGAGTGTGCGTGATCCATGATGACATCATGGAGCATTTGTCGACAGCAGCCATTACTGCCAGCCACTATAAAAACCCAGGGGCTGAGCGGAGAGGAAAGGAGGAGCCTCTTGTGCGGGATGGACGGGGTGGAGAAAGAAACTGTCACTGGAGAAGCCGGAGCCCAGAAGGGACCTGTGTGTCTGTTGGTGAGGTCAGGACAGTGTCTCATCTGTGGTGCTGCAGCTGCAAATCTCTGTCAGTGTCAATGTGAGAGTCAATTTCATGCCTATTCTAATTGCTTTTCATATTGTACTTGCTTTTAGCTTAAATAATGAAATTTGCAGTTAAAACTGTAAGTGTGTCACTTTTGAAAATGCCAGTAAAAACTTGGCTGTGCCAGTAAATTTTGGATGTCGTGTCAGTGAATTTCAATCTGGTAGGTTGGCAACACTGCACTATACTATACTGTGCAACTTTTGTGGCACCTTATTGAAAGTTTGTCAGAATGTTTGGAGACATGGAATCTGGTAATCAAGAGAGAAAATAATAGAACAGTTGTAGGAAGAAAAAAAATCTGTCTTCTTCCTTAACACCAGAAGTCCCAAGCAAGATCTAGAGCTGCCTGAATGTAAAGTGGCAGATCAATATACCACTGTACAAATGTGTTGAGGGTGTAAATTACATTTTGAATTTCCCCCTCCAGCTCATACCAGCACTCACCCACTCACCCACCCACCCACCCACCCAGGGGTGGAGTGCAATTGATATTAACAATGCTACTGCACCAAAGTGTGTAGCTGCCCTGGTACCATTCATTTTGCCACCAAACATGTGCAGAATATTTCTCAGTTTGCCTACAGATCAACTAAACTATCACAAGTTAGCAATGTGAAGTGATATGAATTAACAAACCACCAAAGATTCTCAAAGTAAGCCTTTTGTAATGTCTTCTTGTTCTTATCCACAAATAATTTGTATAAAGTAACAAAAGGCAGATGAACAAAAGAAAGGTAATATGATTCATCTCCCCAAGAAATGTGACTTATAAATAAGTGCTAAAAATTGTCATTTCACATTTAACCATGCCAAGTAATATATTCCTAAGGCTCACAAATCCTATAAACTAGAAAGCAAGTTGGCTTTCGAAGCAACTGCTCATGGGTAGACCAAATTAAAACAAAGTGTGAAGTATGAATCATCACTGTATATACTGCTGGTAGACTTTGAGAAAGCATTTAATGGAATTACACATCTAAGATATACAAACCTCAGTATGTGACTACTACATTTATCTAGGACTCCCGTCCTTTTTCATTAGTAGGAATCTCATCACCAGTTTGCAATAACAAGCCTATCACATTGCCTCCATGTTTTAACACAAAAGTCTATCCCTGGGAGGCTGGCCCACAAGGTGTGGCTGGCTGGGAAGAACATATTGTAAATGTTTGAGAGGGTCTGATCAGAGCTCTCTTTTCTGGGATCTCCTCATCCACCCACCCCAGGAGGCAGAGTGTGTGTGATACAGAAGAACTACTGCTATTAGGCCTTAGCAGGTGTTAAGGATGAGGTCCTGGAAGGAGTTGGACTTAAGGAAACTTGCTGGAGGACACTACCTGTAGAAGCTGGGCTGGAGAGGAAAGCTCTCACTGAAGAGTGTTAAAGGGGAGCTGATAGGGAACTGCCTCTTGACATTGTGAGTAGGACTTTTCATCTTTAGCTCCAGGTGTGCAAGTGCTTTGAGGGTTACATGCCAGAGACTGCTGCAGGGACTGTGACTGCTCATAGAGTCTCAGGTTATCTGTCTTTCCCCTTTACTTTCAGCGTTACTTTGAGGCCACTATCGAAGGACCCAATACTGCCAAAACAAGACTTTGTTCCTACTCCCCCAAGACCTGCATCATGTGCTTTTGAGTATCCTGTACCCTCATCCCTCCTTCCTTCTTATGTCCATGATCTGAAATAAAACTTTTGTTGGTGTGCTACTGGAGCTGGTACAAGGGCTGGCAGCCTTTGAACAGGTAAAGGATGTCTGTATATTTCTCATATCTCATACAGCTTTCGAGGACAAAGAACATAATAAAATGTTTATTTTTTCACTTTTAATAAAATAAGTCCTGTTGTACATATGGCATACAAAGTATGGCAAAAAATCTATTTTTGAAATTACAAAATGTATGCATTTATGCAGGTAAAAAATCCACATTTAAGTGTACATTTTTTTGAGCATACCAGCTGCAAAAACACCATGGCAGTATTTTGCATGGGCCAATGTGTAGGGTTTAGTCGCTTGGGTGGTGCTGGTGGCTTTCAAGATTCACTGCATGAGGCCAATGAGAAGAAGGAGATAGAAGTGACAAAGCTGTCACCATCAGTAAATAGCACGATACAGGGTTTCACCACCAGCTCCAGCAGCGTCCTGCATCCTTTCTGGCAGCCAGCAAATTGACCCAGTGGCCTATTAAGAAGATGTAATGTCCATGCCCAGGCTTGCTGGACCTCATATCTATTGTCATGTGAATCTTGCTGCTGACCATGTGTTCCAGCAAAAGGGAGAAAATACCTTTCACAAGCTGCTAAAGGGCAGAGATTGCCTTCTTGGCCAGGAACCTGCCACTGTGGTGCAGTACAGGCTTCACATTCACAAAAATGGGCTGATTCTACTAGCTGAAAGGGTAGTAACTGTAAAGTCAGCAATTTTGCCAAGCTAATATTGCAACACTGAACCTGGGGGGGGGGGGGGGGGGGTGGCTTGGTTTCTTCTGTTCCAGCGGCATGTAGCTGGAGACAGCAGGGTGTTGTTAGGAGACTTTGAAAAGAACAGGGTTGAAGCCTAAGTTTAGCTCTATTAAGCATGGCCCCATACTGACCCCCTTTACCACTTGATGTGCCATGAGCTAAGCCTCTCAAGTACCTTGGCAGACTACCTGTCAGGGCTGGGTTCCTGCTACGAGCAGCTCTTTTCTTTCAGTGCTCAGAAGCTGCTCAGCAGTTAGTTCATTACCTGCCACTCATTGCCTCCACAGTGACTCACCTGGATACCTTTACCTACCTTATTAGTGCAGCCTACAGCCAGCCCTTTTTGCTGTTTTAGCAGCTTAGCTCATTTCCTCCTTGCCCTTGCGCGGTCTATGATCTCCAGTGTGTTCCTGTGTACAGCTTGGTCTGGCTGACTTCTCTCCTGGTTCCTGTTCCTGATTTTTGGCTCCTGACTACGCTGACTTCTGGTTTCCTGACCCTGACTCGTCTGATTACCCGCACTGTCATCAAAATCCTGGCCTCTGTTTTGACTACATTCCTGATCTATGTTATATTTGCTATTTCATTAAAGGTGTGATTTGTAACTGCATTTTAGGTCTCCACCTGGTTTATGGTTCTTTACACTTCCATTCCTATCCCTGCAGATATGCAGGATGCATATGAAGATTCCTGTGCAGTGGATGGAGGAGGTAGAAAGGGAAGGGCGTGAAGAAGCTTGTGGGCCTTTGGCTTGATATCATTCATTGGCTGCTCCCACAGAGTTTTATGATGACCAGTCATGATCTCCTCATGCATGTGGTACCAAAATGACTGGTAGATTTACCACATTTAAAACGCTGTAGGCAGAGGCTGCAAACCACTACATTGCTTCCTTCAGCAAATGTATACAAAAAGCCCAGGCTGCTGAGCCCTACAGAGCAGACCCAGGGATTCTAATCACCTGCAATAATGGAATAGGGTAGCTGCTCTTTGGATGCTCCCTGGACGATATACAAGCTGCCGCCGGATGACATCCTGCCTTACTGATGTTGTGCCTCTCCCTTATTTTTCTGCTCTATATTCTAGGCCACAAAGGTATCTGCAGCCTTATCATTCCCACATTCCCTATTAATTTTAATAAAGGACTCAGTGTATTGATTTACTGTTTACTTTTTGTGACTGACTAGGGTTACTATGTACACCTTACTCATTTACATGGGGGAGGGGGATCTGGAAAGTGATCCCTGATACTGATATAGCCCCCTCAACTTCAGACCCACAACTACCAGGCCAGTTTTTTTAGGGAAAAGACCCTTGTCTTCATCAACATGGGGACCCCCTCCTCCCTGTCAAGGTACCCTCCCTGTGTTGGGGGTATGTTGCTTTATATAGTCTGGGAGGAAAGGCGCAAGCTCATCCTCCCCTTTTCTGGCCTGCTAGACTGCATGCTCAGGAAGGGTTTAGTAAAGATTCGGGGGGAGTTCACACTTTTTTTCTTGTTTTTTAGCTTGGTATTACCTCTTATATGGGCCGATGAACCAGGAGCTCACCCCTAGACCTAATATGTGGCTGTAGGTATTTTAATGTTTAAATGACTGCTTTATTCACATTTTTACAATATACAAACTGATAGATACTGTATATATATACACATATACAGTATCTCACAAAAGTGAGTACACCCCTCACATTTTTGTAAATATTTTATTCTATCTTTTCATGTGACAACACTGAAGAAATGGCACTTTGCTACAATGTAAAGTAGTGAGTGTACAGCTTGTATAACAGTGTGAATTTGCTGTCCCCTCAAAATAACTCAACGCACAGCCATTAATGTCTAAACCGCTTGCAACAAAAGTGAGCACACCCCTCAGTGAAAATGTCCAAATTGGGCCCAAAGTGTCAATATTGTGTGTGGCCACCATTATTTTCCAGCACTGCCTTAACCCTCTTGGGCATGGAGTTCACCAGAGCTTCATAGGTTGCCACTGGAGTCCTTTTCCACTCCTCCATGATGACATCACATGACAGCTGGTGGATGTTAGAGACCTTGCACTCCTTCACCTTCCTTTGAGGATGCTCCACAGATGCTCAATAGGGTTTAGGTCTGAAGACATGCTTGGCCAGTCCATCACCTTTACCCTCAGCGTCTTTAGCAAGGCAGTGGTCATCTTGGAGGTGTGTTTGGG